ATGGAAGATCAATTACCGTTAAGGCTAAAACACAAAGTGTAAATGTGGAATTGTTGGGGGGAGTTAAAATTGGCTTAATACGGACACTTTTCGCGAGATGGTGGGTAATAATAGCGACGAAACCATCGGAACTGGCTGCCTGATGTATGCGAGAAGGGAAAATGGGAGGAGGAAGCCAGCTAGAGTTAAGCTAACGTTAAGCTATATGGTGGTATGGTATGGGTACATATCTGTAAGTATAAAGTACCTACAGTACCTAAGTACATCATGTAACCGCCGTCATAGTGTCATCTGACATGAAATCGCCCTAATACTCGAGTTTCAAAGAATCGTTCGCACAGGGTAAAGCGTGTATAATGGCAGTAAAGAACGTAAAAATGGCTTATTGGTTAGAGAGAGTTTAAGGATTGGCACACAATACGCACCATTAGAGACATTAGCGCTCCTTTGAACGTTTGCAGCCTAATAGCGGCATAATGCATGTTCCGGCCTCTTTCGACAATCAACGTGATTCAATTTTTAGCTCCGCGAAAGTACCCGAGCCAAAGGGGCCCTCGACGCTACCAAATCTCCTTAGAGCACACCTTCAACTCCCAACCGCACATTTTCGCCAGCAAATCCATCATCGGTCGCGTTACGAATTAATATTTTTACCTACTCCCCACTACCGCAATCACTTAAAAACCCTTGGTCTCTGCCATTCCCTTAATAGGTGCATTTTACTGGTATTAACCGAAAAAAAAAAGAAACTGACTAATTTTCTTTTCCTTTTTTCTTGTTCGTATAATTATGATATGGGGTGGCCAACTTGTTTAATTAAAAATCAGGATAATTCACAATAGTCTTAATCAGGCACGTTCCTAGTCGAGGATATAATCCAAAAGTCCGAAATTAAAACGTCGAGATACAATTGTATTTGGATAAAAGTAATAACAAGAATTGAATTTGATAATTTTAAACCAAAAAAGAAGTGGATAATTGTGAATTTTACCTCAAAAAAGTATTATTTTATTCTTGTGGAATATAACAAAAAATATAAAAATATTGCTCCACTGTCCCAGCGATAATATACCAACCGGTGAACAATTTTTATTTAATCTAGAAATAAATAATTGAACTCTTTGTTCGCTGATTTTCGTTATACGGGAAGTCAGATAATTCTGGATGGGAGCAGTAGTAGAGATAAAGAACAAAGGATAGCTCAGGATCGAGTCACCTTTTACAAAAAGAAATCACTTATATCCTCTCGAACGTTTAATTTAGAAATTCGGAAAAGATTGTTAAAGATGCACGACTCTGTACGGGTGCAAAAAATGGACGGTGGGCGCGACAGGAAAGAAAAGGTCAGAAACGATGGAAATGTGATGTTGTAGATGAATGATAAGGATACCGAGGATAGAGAAGGTTAGAAATGAAGAACTAGTTAGAGACATATTAGAAGCAGAAACAGGAGTTACGTGATAAAGATTAGGTTACTGTTCACAAGTAGTGTGAAGTGTCCAACTAGTCTTTGGATTGATGGTTCTAATCAGGAGCGCAACAAGGAGGGGTCCACGGGTGCCCGGGCACCCAGTCAATTCCAGTCGATTCAGATAATAACTCGGTTCAAATAGTTCAAGTTCGTAAATGAACAGCCGAAATGATCTTTCTTTTTTAGTCATTTATAATATTAAGATGAGAGCAGCCGAACGTGTTTTTATATTATGATGAAAACTTTTTTTTTGTGAGCACCCAGTAAAATTGTAACGTTGTTGCCTCCCCTGGTTCTAATAATGATGTTAACTTTATGTAGGTGGCAAATATTAGCTAAATATAATGCGTTATTTGGTATTTCGTGAATACTAACAATAGACACTTCTTTTACTATAGGTTTATAGTTTACAGTTGCTTCTCTGTAGCTACTAGATAATTCCCCTAAATTAGTTGATTACATTACATCAGGAGTAAATTTCGCGCATATGCTGCGTTACTGCGTTCTAATCATTCGACTCGCACAATGGGCACTTTCCCTCTACTTTAATTTAAATATGACATTTCCATATAATATCTTAAAGTTCCATAAGTCTGAACATATCTTAACGACTATTACATAGTACTTATCGATAAATTCATATTTAGGTCACTGATATAAAGTTGCTTCATCTAAATTATTTATTTAAAACTGCAAGCTAACGCCTACTTACCTACTGTGTTAGTAGGTCAATTAGTAACCGTTTAAATAACTGAATCAATAATTATAATTAAGAAGTTGAGGACGAGGAGTCAAATTCAAGATCACGAAGATGCAAGGAGGTAAGACGGCTTACCGTCTTCACTCACCCTGTGATAGTTCCCTGTCATTTCTATGTTCCCCAATTAACTAATAAAATAGGGTAAGATTATTATTATACCATTAAATCATTTAATAATTAACTATAGTTAAATTGTTAATTAGTTACTTTCATTTCTAAATCGGCTCTGGATAACCAGAATAAGTACTTTCAGATTTCCTCTTCAAATCTAGCGTAACACCTTAAGCCTTGACTCCTAGGGAGCTCTTATGTACAAACTCGTCCCCACTTGCATGTGAGTCGAATTCATGCCTGATGATCAGTCAGATCTTTTGCTCTTTTTAAACTGTTCAAATTCCGTTATCGGTGTGTGTTCACATTAAGATATATGCACAATAAACTCAGCGTTGCGACTCGTACAATAGCTAAGTATAACGCTAGTAAATACGTAATTAGGTGCCTCGGATAGGTAGTGACATTCGCAACTTAATTAAAATATCAGTCAGTCTACTACAGACTAGTTCACGGTTTCAAACGCGATCTCAATTTCCTTAACAGAGTTTGATTTATTTGTTATCCTTTGTCATGCTCCGAGAGCATCTTCAAAAGCTCTGGGAATCAAGCAGGTTCAAGTCAAAGCGGTAGCAGCGGGTTTAACAAAGGGCCAAAGTATTAACCTGTTTGCTACTACGTTATGATGATATTGTTCATTAAGGCAGGTTTGAAAGCAGCGGGTAACGAACTTGCAACTCGAACGTCAGCCCCATCTGTTGGTCGTAATAACTTATTCCTGGTTACTATTTATCCTGCAGCAGTTTCTGTGCTTGCATGGATCCCGTTCTTGTGCGCTCTTAAATTAACCCAAAGTGGAATTAATTTACCTCCGAGAGATTGATTGGCATCCAACAGTTACAAACGCTACTTCATCTAATCGAAATATGCTTTACATTATTATTCTCGTAACGTGAGGTCGATCGAAAGGATATAACTCAAAATAATATGTTCAATTCCTTCTACTTTTATATTACAACCAAAATAAAATAAAATAATAGCACTCGCACTAGAACTTATTAATTTCGGCTTTTATTAGTACTTCTCCACAAATTTATTAATCAATAAATTTTTCTCTCACTTTTTCCTGCCCATCCAGCGTTAAGGATATTCCCGTTTCCATGCTGAGTAGAGCCACCGCGTGGTTGTCAATTCAACACGGTTTGTGGTTTTACAACTAATAATTAGTTTTATTTATTTAATGTTATTGTTGGGTTAGGTTACTCTGATTTTTATGAAATTTATTAATTTTTGCAACCCCTTTCAATTTAAGTCGCACAACAGTCTTTTTTGTTAATTAAACTGCGAGAAACCAGAAGAAAACACATGAAATTAGCTCTATATCTCTTGAAACATACCTGGCGCCTTAGGTTCGAACGGTTTCATGGCACCAAATCACCAATCGATATTTATTTCAAAATGTTTCACCAATTTAAGTATATGTATAGGAATTTTTTTTTTATATTTAATTTTATATTCTACGATGTTCTGTCTACGCATTCAACTTTTAACCACATGTTCAAAATTAATTTTTATTTTTTGCTATTAAAAAGAGATTCCCACCCATATATCCCAGCATAATATTTTCAGACTTCTTTCAATAATTACTTTGTTTTTCGCTTTATCAAAAACTTAATTGCTTCAAACATTCTTTGCGAAAAAGACTTATTAATTATATTGAAAGTATTCCTGTACGACGATTCTGTTTAGAATTTCAACGTTTAACTATTTTTTCAGTTTATTAGTTCCTTTTCACATACGATTTATAAAAATAAAACATTTACTTTCAGGAATCGAAACGTTTAATGGAATGAAGTTCTCTTTTTTAATATAAATATTAGAACGTTTACGAACAATTAACTGTACAACTAAATAAGCACACATATACAAATACATTTTTTTAAACTATTCAAAAACACACATAACTCTATCTTGGTCTGCGGAATATACTTAATCTTTTACTCTTTGGAGTTCCTGGCTGGTTCTGAAAGAGAAATTACACTTAGGAAAACTTATAGTAATTTCGCAGATGATGGGACCCTCGCTTCAATGATGGTAGAAAAGTGATAGAGGGACTGGAGAAGTTTTGGTAGAACAGTGAATTAATGTTTATATATAGAAAAGGATGGAAATGGTAATTGAATAGATCAGGCGATTGTCTGTCAGTGTTTTAGTGTTTCATAGGGTCATCTCTACCCCTCTACCAACATTTCCAAATATAATCTCCACCCCCTACGCCTTCACGTCTCTCATACACACAAACTCTAAACACCAAACACCTAACCCTCCCATCTCGCTCCCACTGACCCCATCATCTGCATGATTATCAACATTCAAAACTAAATCGTTCAAAAACCTGAAAACGAGAACACTTTTATAACTTCGAAAACTTAATTTAAACTATTTACTAAACATTAGGTTAGTTTCCTTTTTGTAGAATTAATGTGTTAATTTATAAACATAATGTACCTGCTTACTATATGCATAAATTGTTTTGTTGATTGTTTCATTCATGGTTTAGGTTGTTCCAAAAATAGGGAGACATTATCATTAGCATCCAGTCTAATAGTCTAATTAAAACAGATGGAAGTAAGAAAAAGTACTTAAAGGAAGTGTAGAAAATCTATAAAGAATAAAATTTGAATTTAAAGCCCACCGTTAATTAATTTTGAGAAGTCTTTCGTTGTTAATTCAAGCATAACAATACAATATTAATAACAGTAGATACTGTAAACAAAAGCGAAAATTGTAAATGAAATGATATTTTTAAAAAAGCACTGAAGGTTCCGAAAGTTCCGTACCTGAACAAATAATGATTTCAAAAAATAATAATTATTTTCATTCACTGCGTTAAAAAAATAGTACAATTTTATTTTATCCCACAATATTAGGAATAATTTTTTTATAACACTTCTGCAATTAAAATAAAAGATCGTTACGGTAGACACTTGATAATGTGAACATCCTATAACTGAAAGCCCGCATAATGTGACCATTGTAAACCGTCGTACACCATGAACAACTAAACCTTCGGTTATAGAAACGAATTTTTTCAAGTTCTATATCACGCCGTTTCTATTGCGTCATTGTTGTAAATCCTTGGTACTCTCCAGTCGTATTAGCCGGAGAGGTTGTTTTATTCGTGTATTTGCTTTATGTAGCTCATTGTTAATATTTGTGTAGTTGTGGTATCTACGTTGTTCATATACAGCAAAAATGTACGCATATTACATATTTATTGCAATCTTTTAATGAGTATTAGTGCTTTATATTTATATGTATGTATATTTATTTTGTAAACTATAGATGTTTATTAAATATAACATTCGTAAACGTGAAAAGTTCGATAATGTGAACAACTGTTATTTTTTTGTTCAGACTATCGAGTGTCTACTGTATAATTCATTCTACAATTGTTCCAAATCTAAAATCTATAACGCAAAATGATTGAAAAATCAATCGTAACATAAAAACGGACGTGCGGTCATCGGAGTACTACCTTATTACCATACAGGTTCCATTTTACCGTTTTAGTATTAAAAGAAAGCAGCTATAATCAATTATAAAACCCCTACCATTGAAAAAAGAAAATGTTAGTCAAAAACGAAAAAAGTTTAATTCAGGTAGTTATACAATAGCAACGATAATATCACAGGCAAAGACAAGAAAAGTCCGAAATATTTTAAATAGAACCACAAAGAATTCCATAAACGTGAAACCATACTTTTGTTTTCATATTTTAAGAAAGACGTGCACAAAAATTTACCATGACAATCACAAGCACATTGCTTCAATTTACTATTATTAATATCGCCCACACTTCCTACCTCAGAGTTCTCTCTGGTACTGATCGAGCTGCGTCCCATGAAAAGGGCCCTCAAACGGCTGGGAGTAGTACGTTTTGGAGTTTTATCGTTATGGTCTCTTAAGACATCTTTAGAATGGATTTCATTCCCTTGAAGAGAAACGCGACCCCCATTTTTGCTAGGGGTAGGTGGACCTGGCTTTTTATACGATGTAGTTCCGATATCCTTCTTCCTTACCTTTTCACCTGGTAAAAGTTTAGTACTCATACTGTCATCAAAATCTACTACCCCTGTCTGAAAACAGACAAAATAAAATCGTTCATGCATGCAAAAAATAAGGTTTTATGATCTTTTTAATTTAAATAAAATTGAAATTGCACAATTAAAATGTTGATTCAAAAATTAAAAGCAGAATGTTTACCTTTATGTCTTCCTCTTTAAATTGCGAAGGACTATTAAATTGTGTCTCGGCCGGGTAAGAAGACTTTAAGTGGGGTGGATAAAGAGAATTTCTCCACTGCAATTGTGATAACCTCTCTACATTCGATTCCTTATTTGAAGGTAGCGTGCACCTTCCTTCTTTCAAATCGGTTAAATATTTGTTGTTAAATAAGTCTGATTCTTCATCTTCCATCTCCAAACTTTGTCCTAAAAAATTGTCATGTTAAATTCACTAAAAATCTTTGCCGGTTTATCAATTAAAGCACACAAGTTGACAATAAACACTGATATAATGGAACTTGGTTATAACATCGGTTATAACGACAACTCTGTTACAACGTCTGATAGTTCAGCAAATTTGCCATTCAAACCAAGGCTAAAAATTTCAATAATAACGACAGCAGATTTGGATATAACGTCATATTTTTATTGCTACAAATCCTTGAAACGGTTTTAATGTCAGTACCTCGGTCGGTATAATGAAAAGTTGCCCATCCCCAATTATCATTGTTGGTATTTATTGCTATTACCATAAAATATAAATTAGTACCGTGAAAACTTTCGTTAATAACGACACTCGAATATTATGTCAAAATAATGCTGATCCCTGGGGTACCGCTATAACCAAGGCCTACTGTACATACCTATAGGATGATGTTGCAAAGAAGTTAATGATGTTTTCCTAGAAATGGTCAGTTCTTGTATGACATCCATACCAATATTTTTTGGCAAAGTTGAATAAAGTTTTTCTTCGGTGATTCTTTTCCTGACAATGGCTTTGCTATCAGGGACATCAAAAACATCATCCAAAGGAGCTTTATATCTTGTAGCGTTTTCATTCTGAAACTGCAAGTCCCGTTTGTAGTCGCTAATATTATTCTTTAAGCGTGTTAAGGACTCTCTAAAACCATCTACTTGCAATGATTCCCTAGAATTAGTACATACGTCGCTTTCGATATGACGAAAATGAGACTCTCTCTCTTTTTCAATCCTCTGCTGGTTTTCTAATTCAATTATTTTCTTGTTTGCCCTTTCTAATTCTATTCTAAGATTTTTTACCATATTTGATAATTGTTCCTGCTCAAGAAAAAAAAACCAAATATTTTATAACATCTGTCACATCCACAAAAAAAATAGTAATGTGCTCACGTTTTCTGTTTTTTCCTCCAACTTCTTTTGAATCTCTTTCTCAAGTTCATCATTATATAATGTAATCTAAAAATAAAAAATTTAAAACCTACTTAGGCTCTATTTTTATAAATAATCAATATCAATCGAAATATTCAAACATTAATAATTTATATATTCTTAACTGCTGTTTAAAGTTTAACGAATTCTTACCATTCTCTGTTTAATTAAGTCCAATTTTGCGTCGTATTTATTTCGAATTTCTTGAATCTTTTGAGCTTCTTTCTCACGTTCTCTGTTTATTATTTGCATGTAGTCTTCTCTGTCTCTGGTTCGTTTATACTTCACAGTGTCCAACTCGGTTTTTAATCTGGTTTTCTCTTCCAGTATTTTCGTATAATTCTCTTTCAACAACTCCACATCGGTTACGTGAGAATTCTTCTCTTTCAATATTGAATGAAGCGTTTCGTTCTCCATTTCAAGACGATATTTTTCACTTAAAAGTTTACTGTAAGCATCTTGTATACTTTCCATTTCTACATCATTTTCGGTTTTAATGTTAATTGGCTCTGACTTAACGTCTTTGTGTAGTTTGTAATTTTCATATTCCTTATATAATGCTTCATATTGCTTGTTGCAGTCTTGGAGGATTCTCTCATACTCGCTTTTAGTTTTCTTATGTTCTTCTAATAATTGTTTATACATGATTTCGTTTTCCGGGTGACTTTTTTCTATTAATTTTTTATTTTCTTCACGTAATTGTTTAATTTTCTTTTCTAAATTTGCCTTTGCATTCTCTGCCAAAGTCAACTTTTGCTTTAGAGCAAGATTTTTCTTCTTGTATTCTTCATCTTTCATTAAAATATTTTTTTGTAGAGGAACCGTTTCTTTTTGGAGTTTTAAAGACTTTGTAGCGATAAAGCTATCGACAGTTTTCTCGAATGTTTTTAATTGCTCTAAAATGTCTTTCGCTCGGTCTTTTAAATCGTTAATCTCTTCAATTTTTTCTTCAAAATCTATCTGTAAAACTTCAGGTTTTGTGGAAGTTGCGTGCGAACTAAGTGCTTTTTGAGTCAATACGTTTTCAATATTAAGGACGGCATTTAATGAAATCTTATAAAGATTTTTGGAAAGTTTTTCAAGCTGCTTATTTATATCGATGCTTAATATTTCTAATGTTTGGTTTTGCTCAAGCAAGGATTTAGAGTCTGTTACTGAACAAAGTTTGTTTTGCACTGAATTAAAAGTTTTTACAAGATTTGTTGAAAGTGCTTCTAAAGAATTTCGTTCGGTTATTAATGTTTCTAGTCTGCTTCTTACATCTTTACAGGATCCTATTAATCTATTGTGGAGCTCATTGAATTGAATTTCACGATTCTCAAGTTCTTTCAGGTGTTCCCCTAATTCGCAATTTTGTAGAGTTAAAGTCTCTTTGATTTTAGTCTGATCTTCGTAATCTGTCTTCAATCTCTGTAAATTTTCAGATAAACCATCGAATGTTGTCAGTTCTTTTTTCAATTTTTGATACTCATTTAAAAGAGAATTGTAATCATTTACCAATTTTTCTTTCTCTTTATTCAACTGACTACTTTGTTCAATCAATGTATCAAGCTGGACTTTATTATTTTTATTTTCGTTCTCTAATTCCTTTTGTTTTTCTATAATTTCTCGTTTTTCATTGATAACAGAAATAATTGTGTTTTCAACTTCTTTAATGCAATATGAAAGGCCTTCAAGAGAACTAGTATCTATCGTAAATCCACTTGGAAGAGTATAAATTTGACACTGATTATTGCTCATATAAGAAATCATTTTTTCAACACTGGATTTAAGAGCCGCTTGAATTTGAGAAACTTTAAATTTTTCATTTGTTAAATCCATTAAATTTAACTCCAGGATTTCTTTTGATTTTCTTTCCCCGTTTAAAAGCATTTCCAACTTTTTTAACACTTGCCCTTGATCAAAAATGCTATTTTCTTCTGAGAAAATAATTTGACAAAATTCGGATGTAGCCTTCACGGTTTTTTCATGTACCTCAAAAAGATTATCTTCTGTCTCTTTTAACTGATTTGCATGAGCCTGGAGTAGATCACTTCTCATTTTCTTTAACTTCCCAAGCTTTGAACACATATCCTTTAACGCGGCAAAATTTTCAAGTTTTTTTTTATTTAACAACTCCAAAACTTCAATGTCTGCTTCGATGTTTTGGACAATGTTTGAAACATCGGTAGTTTCCTGAGTTTTGATCTCGCATTTCAAGACAGAATTATTTCGTACGTCGCTGGCAGAATATTTATCAATTAACCGTTTTAGTTTTTCAGTAGTTTGCTGTTTTTCTGTAAAATTTATCTTCAAAAGTTCGTATTGCTTTTGTAATAACTCATACAGTTGTATTTGCTCCTTTGCTAGCTCCAAAATTTTAGTTTCTAATTCTGACTTAACTGATGAGCATGCTGTCTTTTCATTTTCAAATAATATTTTAATTTTCATTAGATCATCTTCAGAAGCTTTGCAGACATCATCATATTTTTTCTGCAGTTCGTTTATAGTTTGATCTTTCTGATGTAGTCTCCACTGCAAATCTTCGACCGTTTTTGAGATACCAGCGATTTCTTTATTCTTCATATGAATATCTTGTTTATACTTTTCACTATCGCTTAATTTTGATTCTTCTAAGATGACAATTTTATTCGTTAATGTTTCAATTTCCTTTTGTAACTGTTGTTGACCTGTTTCTAAAATACTGTTAGCACACTTTAATTTTCTAATATCATCTTCTAATTTTATGATCCTTTCTTTTGCTTGTTGCAAATTTTCTTCACTTTTTATTTTTAACATGTTATATTGTTCTTCTTCAATTTGAAGCCTTTTCTCAAATAAATGGGTTTCTTCAGTAATTTTCATAACATTTTGTTTTAGACTCTCGTTTTCAATGTGAAGTTTATTTATTGCGTTGTTCTTTTCTTGAAGTTGATTGTGATAATTTTTCTCAATTTGCTCCTTTTCTAGTAATAAAACATTAATTTTAACTTTAGTTTCAGCAACAACTGCTTTTAAGTCTTCCTTTTCTTTCAGCAACTCCTCTATTTTTTGCGTATACTGATTATGTAATTGCTGTGCAGTTTTATTAGTTTCTTTAACGTAAAGTTCGTGTACGTTCTTTAGATTAACAAAATCCATTTCAAGATTTTCGTGAACTTCTTGTAATTTATTTAATTTTTCTATCATGTCCGAATTTTCGACCTTTGAGTGATCTAAGTCACTCAACGCTTTTTTATTAGCATATAAAAGTTCCTTGTTTGATGCGTTCATTTTATTAAGGTCATCGACAACTTGTGATAACTGATCTTCAAGTTTTTTTTCTCTAATATTCGATGTTTCCAATCTTGTATTGAGTAAAGACATTTCTCTTTCAAGTTGTTGCTTATGTAAGACATCGTGTTCAGAAAATTTATTTAACAGTTCTTCGTGATCCTTCTTTAAACTACTGTACGTTTCTTGAAAGAGTTGATATTCTTTTAGCTTTTCTTTATGCATTTCTTCTAAATCATTGTATCTTGAAATTACAGTATGTAAATTTTCTGTTAAAGAATTAACTTGCACCTCATTCTCCATTTTAATATCTTGAATACTCTCAAGAGTTTCGGAGTATTTTGTTATAATTTCATGAAGTTCATCTTTAAGATTTCTAAGTTCATCGAGGTACTGAAATTCACGGTGAGATAATTTTTCAGTTTCAGTTTTCAATTTGAAAATTTCCTTATTTAATCGCTCAATGTCTCCATCATGTTGAGTGACCAAATTAGATCGTTCTGAAACTAAATCTTCATACTGTTCGCATTTCTCTTGTAACTCCTTTTTCAGAACCTCTATTTCATGTGTGGTTTTATTTTGAAAATCTGTATGTTCTGCTAATGTATTTCGCAGTTGTTCTGTTGTAGTAACAAGTTCTTTAATAGCAGTAGAACTGTTTCTTTCTAAATCCACATATTTTTCTTCTGTAAGAACTTTCAGATTTGTAATAATCTCTATTTCTTTTACAAGTTCTTTTATTTTAATGTCGTACTTTTCTACTCTTGAGGTCTCAGCCTGAATCAACTGATTCAAGTGATAAATAGCATATTCTTGACTTTGTACTTTTGCTTCCATATCTTTTATAGAATCGATTTTTGTTTCCAATTCAGAATTTGCTTTGTCTTTTTCAAGGCTTAAATCTGAAATAGTAGAAGCAAGTTCAACGCATTCTTTCTCCTTGCTTTTCAAAGATTCTGATAAACCTTTTATTTCCTGTTCCATTTCTTTTTGCTTTATTAATAAGCCTTGATTATCTATTTCTAAGTTTTGACATATATGAGTCCTTTTATTCAAGATTTCTTGTAATTCTTCCTTTTTATTGGAAAATATATTAACATTTTCTTCTAACTTAGCTATGGTGGTGTTCAACAAGCTGACTTTTCTTTCAAATTCCTGTCTTGCGGAATCCAATTCTTCTTCTAATTTTGCCTTATGCTGCTCAGTATTTTCTAATTCTAATGACATTTGAGACGCATTTTTGACGGAATCGTTCAATTTTTCTTCAAGTTGTGATACTTGACATTTGTAACTTTGTATTTGTTCTTGCAGTTGTCCAATTTCTTTTAAATATTTTTTTTCCTTTTCAACAATTTCTTTGTGTAAATTTTCTTCTGTAATTTTACTAAATTCAATTTGTCGCAGTGCCTCTTCTAAGTTTGTTTTAAGAGTGATTTCTTTTTTATGACAGTCTGAAAGAGTATTTTGGATTTCAAATGCTATTTCAGTTTTTTTAGCAAGCTCTTGTTGTAGTTGTTCTTTGTCACTTTTTACATCGTTTATTGTTCTTTTCAGCTCTAATTCAACTATTTCATACTGAGCCAATTCAAATTTCGATTGCGTGATCTTTTCTTGTAACTCATTTATTATTTTTTTATTATTTTCTATCTCATTTTGAAGCATAACTTCATTATTTCGTGAGAAAGCTAGTTCGTTATTTATACTGCTTAACTGATTACTCAATTGAGTTTTTTCTTCCTCTAATAATTGTAATTTCCTTTCAAGATTATTTTTTGACTGATTGCATTCTACATATGAATTTTGTATTTGAGAAAGTTCTTCGTTTAATTCATTTACTTTTGCTATCAACTTTTCTTTTGATAAACGTAATTCATCGTTAATTTGCTTATGTTGTGTTACTTCTTCTCTTACAGATAGCAACTCATTTTCAATCACATTTACTTTGGATTGGCTGGTCTCAATAGCTATTTCTTTTTCTTTTACCACGATTTTTAACATTTCTAATTCTTCAATCGTTGCACTCATTCCAGAAATACGATTATTGAAGTTGTCTATTTTACTCTCATATTGCTCTATTATTATCTGCATTTCACCAACTTTCTTCTCCAGCAACAGTAAATTATCAGCTAACAGTATTTTCTCTTGTACCGTTGTTACTTTTTCGTCATTTATTTTTTTAATTTCATCTTGTAAATAGGAGACAAGTTCCTCCAATTGTACTATTTTTTCACGTAGATTTTTTTTATCGTTAATATCCCTTACTTTATCGAGCTCTATTTGACTTAAAATGCAATCGAAAACGCCTTTTTTATGCTGATAATCAAATTCATTTTTCTTCTCTTCATAAACTAGCGACTCCAACTTTTGTAAACTAGCTTCCATTCCTTGGTCCAAAAAATTAAATTTATCTGTTAACTTTTCTAATTCGAGATGTGTGGCATTGAACTTTTCCATAGAAGTCTCCAAATCCTTTTGAAGTTCTTTGCTTTGCCTTTCAAAAGCATCACAAGCAATGTCCTTTTCATATAAACGTTTATCAAGTACAATAATTTTTTCGTGTAGCAGTTTAATGTTGGTATTAAGAGTTTCTTTTTCACTTTCAGATTCAGATAGAAGATTTTTTGTTAAATTTAACTGATCTTCCATAGAATCAATTTGTAGATTAAGAGTATTTTTTTCTGTATCCAGCTTCTTAATAGTTTGAGTCAATTGGGCAAGTTCAGTCTTGGTTTCTTCAAGTGCTAACTGTGTTTCATGAAGAATAGATACCTGCAAATGTTTGTAATTAAAAATTAGTTTATGAAATAAATGTTTATTTCAATAATAGACCTTATTTTTTAGTTCTTGGCATTCCACTTGAAGATCTTCACATTGTTTATTCAACTCCTGCAATTTCTTATTTCCAATATCAATGTTGCCTTGTAGTGTATTGTTCATTTCTTGAGTAGCTTTCAAAATACTTTTTAAGTCATTATTTTCTTTCAGTGATTCCCGCAGTTGTACTTCTACAACAGCATGGGCCAAATCTTCACAAGAAGTTGACTGAATTGATTTTCGTTTTTGGAAATCGCAATTGATAGACTCCACTTCTATGTAACTGTCGTTTGACTTTGAATTCTTTAATTCGTCCAATAAAGTAGTTAGTTCATTACAGTGTTGATGTAAATTTTGCAATTCACATCTTTGTATTTCGTATTTTTCTAATAAAATGTCGTACTTATGTTCACTGTACAAACACTTATCTTGAATAGCATTGTATTCCCTTTCCACTTTTACAAGCTAGAAAAAATATAAATTAATAATTATAAAGATTTTGATAAATAATATTGTTTACATTTTCATTTAGAGAAGATCGTTCGTTTTGAAGTTTCTCAATTTCTGATTCAAGTTGTAACACATGTAAGAAGACTTTAAGTGGGGTGGNTTACAAGCTAGAAAAAATATAAATTAATAATTATAAAGATTTTGATAAATAATATTGTTTACATTTTCATTTAGAGAAGATCGTTCGTTTTGAAGTTTCTCAATTTCTGATTCAAGTTGTAACACATATCGTTCTAAATTTTTTATTTCACCTTTCAAACGTCGCTGCAAATCTTGAGAAAACTGATCGTCGCTCTTAAAGGGAGAAGCATACTGACTGGCTACTAATTCCGATCGCAATTTTTTTATTTCTGCTAATTTTTCAGACAATTCTTTCCCTACAGTTTGATAACATTAATTTCTTAAAGTTTTAATACAAAATCAAATAGATAATAGCAATAATAAACAATAATTATAATTAAAAGCTTACCAATTTTTTCATTATGCTCCTGTTGTTGCTTTAATTCTTCCTGAATATCTAATTTTTCATATCGTTCGACTTCTAATTCTTGCCTTAGCTTATTTATTTCACGTTCTCGTTCTTGAATGTATGCCTTCTTATATCCTGGTGTGTAAAGCAATTCCTGTAAAGGGCTTCTGCTACTAAGCGGCGAGTCTCCACCTGACATCCATTGAGAACTTTGTAACTTTTTTTTAAATTCATTAACAAAAGTACAATTCTTGATTGTTTCAAAAAGTATGTCCTTTGTAACATCATTTTGAATTTTCTCTAAAAACATTCTTATACAAAGTTGAGTATGATGAGACAATCTTTGACATAATGGTGAAGTAAGAACATCCCTGTGTTCAAAAACACAGGAATAATGCATAAGTAAAGAAGAGATTATAATAATATCATTGTTTGTCAGGTCTTGTATATGTACTGTTTTCTCATTATCAAACTGACAGTGGGGATACTCCTTTTTAAGGGTTTTAAATATTGTCGTTAAAATGTCAACATCATTTAAATTTTTGTCTTGGGTTCTACAAAATATAAACATGATATTAACCTACGTAAATAGGAGAGGCTAATACTTACATGACTGCTAGCAAACGTGAAAAAAAATCTCCATTTTTCAATTCATTTAATTCTTTTNTTATATATTTTATAAATACAAATTTCAAACGATTGACTTAACCATAGATTAAAGAACTTATCTATGACGATTGACATCCTCGGAAGCATTCGACCCATTCCGGGAAGCTCCGGCTAGCAGGAATTTTGATCGGTAATTTCAAAATAATCCGCTGATTAGAACTAACTTTACGTAACTTTACTAATAAATTGTGTGTCCATTACGGGTTCTTCTAAATATATACGTAGTCGACGGTGTTAATACATATGCATTTTATGCAAAGCAAAAATAAAGTTTGCAAAATAACTTCAAATTATTAACTGACAATCGACCTTCTGAAGAATTTTGGTTACATAATTGTCAGGATATGAAACATGCATCATATATAATTACATAACTGTTGTACCGCCTACTTATTTTAAGGTCTACAGAAGCTTTAAAAGCCATTAAATTATTTCAAAGTAAAGACGATGAATTTATTGAGAAAATGAAGAAGAAAAGAACGAAACAAGCAAAATCTACTATTGGTCTAATAAGAGGTAAAATATCTGCCCCAAGAGACCCAGAAAGATTATTTAAACCTACAAAGCAATGGATGCAAAGATCAAAAAGAAAAGAAATCCGAAAGGGTGCAGTTATAACATTCCCAATGGATATTAAGCAAGTCCCTAAATTGTAAGAAAAAGTAGTAAAGTTTATTATCAATTATAGTTAAATATTCCTTACAGATGCTTGCCAATGTGGAGGAAAGGAGTTCCATTATTACATTAATATTAATAAAAACTAAACAAGTGTGCTGTTTTCAATNTAATACTTACATGACTGCTAGCAAACGTGAAAAAAAATCTCCATTTTTCAATTCATTTAATTCTTTTATAGTATTAGATAGTTGCAGGCAATTCACCTGTAAACATTTAATTAAACATTTAACTAATCACATAAAAGCAAACAAACCCATTCTATCAATACGCTCTCCCAACCATTGTTTTCCATTTTCGCTAGATTAATTTAACTTTGAATGTTAATTTCAATTAATAAATTAGATAACATCACTCAAAAAACATACATATTAACCGTTTACTAGATATGTGCGACCGTTTAAAATCGAATTTTCAAACCTTCCTATTGGTGAAAAATTGACACTACCATAGATATAAATTAACCAAAATACTTTAAATAGAAAAAATAAAAATGTATGCTTATTTTACAGCAATTCCGAAGTAGTGTGGTCTCTAATGTATTAAACACGTAAAAAATTTGTTTTTTTGATGGAGATAAATGTTTGTATTTTTGGTTCCTTGCTTCCTAAATAAAAACATCTATTAATTTTCCATTGATATAAATTAACAGCGCTAATTTTAAAAAAAGAACTCAATGTGCTTTTTCTTTGTCTACATAGAAGGGGGAAGTCCGCACGATTGAGAACTGTTCGATTCTCTCCAAGAAGGACCTAGCAACTAAAACTCCTCGCATGTAAACCCTTCTACATTAAACCATTTTAGGACCAATTAAAGTCCTCTTCAGTCGATAAAATAATAACAAACAAAAAAACACCTTTTTATAAGTTTCTCGTATTTGTTCTTATAAGTGGAAAGAAATAAAAAACATGTTTATTTTTATAAAGAAATTGGTATAAAACTGTTTTACAATAAAATAGAAGACGAGTACTTTTTAAATGCGTTTATTATGTACAAAATAATGAATTATTACACTTTATTACATTTATTACAACAAAGCAGATCATATTTATTATTTTATATTGTCATGTATCAACAACTGTACTAATGTTGAACGAACAAAATCTTTTCTAAATCTTGTAATACTTCTGTCTTCATGAACTTTTATTGGTGTTTGAGTACATTTAATATACTTATGAATTGAAGCAGTGTCTTCAATCATTTGGGTAATTAATGTAGAATCGTTATCAATGCTTTTATACATGTAACGAACAATTGTACTGTTATCAACAACAGCATTGAAATTTTGAAGTGCAATAGGTTGATGAGGATTTTCATTTTCCAGGCAAAATTTTTGTAAAGGAAAACTAAGTCTTCCATTCTTCCGTTTCAGATTGTATTCCGAAAGCATCCTGCTTAAAGAGTGTGAGTAGAATGGAATAATGTATTCGTCAATTTCCAGTGTTATTGTATTTACTGTCTTGCCAAAGGTACGTAATAAACACTCTTTTTCAACAATTAATCTTGAAAGATTGCTTTCGAGTTTAGGATAATTCCAAATGTAAAAAGTGCTTTGAATACCTAACTTGGGGGACAGCATTGATACTAATTTTGATACATTATATGGTATATCATGTAAATAAAAAATGAAATTTTCAATTCCAATGAGTTCATGAAAACTAATAAACTCTAAAAGTAATTTTTTAGAAAACAGCGTTGGTGAAACACAAATAGTAATATTAAAAAGATCCTTTGACTTTATATTAGAAGTTATCATTATTTTTTTCATATGTTCAAATGTCTTATTTCTTTTTTTGATAACAAATGAAACAGCATATGGGGTTGATTTGTTTGTTGAAAGTGAGCAGTAATAGTAATATATCCACTGTCGATAGGCTGCATTTCCTTCTATTAAAAAAGATTTAAATTCTCCAACTACAGGTGTTTCACGGTCTTCAAACCATAGGTAACAAACTCTAGCAACTTCCTTTTTGGTAGATTGCAAAGCAATTACTTTAACCTGAGAGTTATTTATTAAAAACGCAGAATATGTGTACATGTCCTCATTTTGCTGCCAAGTTGGAATTGGTCCCCAATCTTTGTATTGATGAATAAAATCGTTTTTAAAAAGTTCTGAAAAGTTGCAGGGTTGGCCGAAAAAGTCAAAAACTTCTAATACATAATGCAGACGATTGTATTCATTTCTATACACTAGTAACAATGATAAACTCACTACAGATGTTAGGAAAAGGCATAATGTCCTATACTTTCGCATTATTACTCAAAAATATGCATTTTACAATTAATAGTTTTTCTGTAAATTATTAATTATTAATAAAACAGAAATCACAACAGAACATCAACAATAACCATAGACGACACAATAACCAAATGAACTGAAATGAACCAATGATACAAAATCTATGGCACAAAAAACTATAGCATAACCCATAGATTAAACAACTATAAGCTAACCAGAACCATAGCAAGTAACTGATTATGGGGTCGAATCATAGATGAAGTTCAGTTGTGTGAATTTGGCTCCTCATATAAATAATCCACTGATTCGAACTAACTTTACCAAAAAATTGTGTGTCCTTTACGGGTTATAAATATGTACGACGCGTAATTGTGCATGAACAAAAAACACTAAAATAGATATTTTTTTATCTCCGTTTAACTTCAAAGAAAAATCATGAAACTGACTTCCTCCCCTGGAAATAAGGAAAATGGTCATAGCATGAAGCGGATTATTAAAGAATAAGTGTTTTTCATGTAATTGTTTACTTATTGAACACTTTAGGGGTTGTAGGACTAGAAGGTAAAAAAATCCATTAAAGAATATTTTGGGGCTTTAGTTAATTCTTTACATAATGTAAATTCCAATTTTCAAGAAGTTTTATTGGTTGTAGACCCACAACAATTATTTCACCATTACATTATTATTGCTGTATTGTTGTCTATAATAATTCAAATTTCTTGAAACTTGGCAGTTTACTTTATTACATTATGGATAAGTTTCAACTTGGAAAAGAATCTCTGTTTACCTAATAGTCATGTTAGTGAATTTATCATCATAAGGTCGTCAGTCCTAACACTGGTTAGACACGCACCTCCACTCCTCCCTATCCTGAGCTAATCTTCGCATTTCGCATATAATTGTTTAAAACAGTTAATTTTGCCAGTAATGTATTATATTTCAACTTTCCATTATTAATTTCGGCATTGCACTTATTGTAACTAATTTCATTTAAAAACAGTTGTAATTTTAACAGCTTATTTAAAAAAAAAACTGTTTATAAAATGTATTACTGTCGTTTTTGAAAGGAGGGGATTCCTCCTTTCAAAAACTCATTCCCATCAAAGAACTGCGAATGTTATATACAATATATTTATTTGATATTAAAAGAGAAAAGGGTTCGGAATTACTGTAATATTATATTATGCACGTTTTTTAGTAGGGGGGCTAAATCATATTGGATACTTCAAGGGAAGAATTAATAATATGTTACTTCTTAGTTTAATACCATTAGATTGTCCTTTATTTAGTTGAGGTTGTAGGTAATTATGAACTTCAGTTTATCGAAATTTATTCTAAAAAAGCTGGTTGACGTTTATAACTCCACTACGTTTTGCCGATTTTAACACAAAAATTTATACAGAACATCGATTTACACTTCCAATCTCCAATTTAAAAACTTTTTTATTTCTCTTTTTAAACTCTGATTTTGAGAGCCGAATTTTTAATAAGTAAAGGAATTCAGAATTGCTATTATAGCCTGACGCTCAGAATACTTTGCAGTGAAGTGGGTTGTCTATTATCATGGTACTGATGTTACAGTGCGAGTCGAAACTTGTAAGCAGCTAAATTATTGAATTTTAATAAGAATGATCTGAAATAATCAATTTTATTTGGTACATAAGCGGTCATTTATCACATTTGTTTTTGAGTAACTAATTTTCTTGATAGCTTATTTAACGAACAAGTTATACGCATTTAATTTATTTCCTGTAATTTATAATAAGTAAGAAATGCTGCTTTTATTTTTTCAATGTAAAGATTCAATATAGACTTCTTAACAAGTAATTAATAATAACTTATGTGTATGAATTACGTCTTGTAAATATTTGCTGACCAAAATTACTTCTAAGAAAGGATAGTTCTCAAATATCAACAGTTTGGATTAAGGTTTTGTGGTTTGGTTCCTCATTATATGATTGTTTACATCTACCTTACCAAGATAGTCAGCAATAGAAAAATAATGACATCAATATCGCATTTAGCAAATTTAACTAATGGTTATTTTCTTTTTTTGTATCTAAGCTGATTAATTTGTAGAATATTCAAAAACGAATTTCAGGTGGTTACTACTGTCTATTTTTATAACAAAGTTATTTTTAGATGTAGTAAGTTAAATGAAAATTGATCTTCAGGGTGATAAATGCTGTATAAATAGATGAAAACGACAACAAAAAATTACCTTAAAATATCCACCCATATATAAAGTGTCAGGGGGGCCAAAAATTGCTACTTCCCATTCGAAAAGATTGTCTTCATTAACTAACTTTACACAAAAACCTTCAACTGGTTCTTCTTGTAAAGACTTGTATTCGACTGCTAAAGCACGAAGGGCACTACTCGTTCTCAAATTAGCCATTTTCGTGTAAGTTTACTGTCTTTTCTTTAAAAAAGATACACTTGTTCACTTTTGTAAGTTCGTTAACTTATTACGACGCCATTGAACCGACACACTAGAATAGGATATAATTCTGTTTAAAATTATTTATCTTGACCATTCTCGATATAAAACGTTAAATTACAACTTAATAATTGCAAAAATATGATGTATAATTGGAAATAACTCTAACAAAGTGACAATTAGAAACAAAGAACTACAAATAGAAAAACAAGGTACAATCCTTTGTCACTTGCTACTCCACTCTACGTTATTTTTCTTTTCTAACAGTTAACAGCTGTTACACCAACGACTTGCGCATTGACTAATACATTTAGTTAGCTTCCTATTTTAAGGATCCAGAATATGATCCTATTAAGTCTATTCTGTAAATCAAATTATTTTGTTATATTGTCAAAAGAAATAGTTAAATTAAAGCAAATTGATGAGTGTAGTACAAAGAAATAAATAAAATATCTTTATAATAGCTATTTATGAAGAAATTTGTATTATAGGTTATAGTCCACACGATCATCAGATGACTGAATGCATCTAAAAATCTTTCAAATAAACATTACAAGTTATCTTTAACTGTTCTTAACCTTTAAATTTTAAACTTCAAAAGTATATTTTGTGATGATTTTGTAAAATTTTATTAATCACCCAAATATGTTAAATATATGATAATTTAAATATTT